CCTAATCCTTTATTAGCTAATCATGAGAGAACCCAGTTCCATATCAGGGGCCTTCCCTTGCCTTGCTGGGGGTTGTGTCTGGTTTGATTCACTTTGGCCAGGGTTATCATTTTCTAACTGCTTCTGTTTCACCAGGAGGGCCTTCTGCAGTCTTAGTGGGCAGTGTCTATCCCTGTTTCAGATTCTTGCCTGTCTCACACTGTATCCCATTTCTAGGTTTCTCATATGATCCAGTGGCCTTGTCTTCTTGCCTGCCTTCCCCCAGTCTTCTCACCGGATGTGACTGGACAAGTTTAGTCCTATTCCTGCCATGTGTATTTGCGTTGTGGCCTGGGGGAGGAGTGGGAGGTAGGACTGAAAGTGAAGAAGGCAGTAGGAAGTGGCATGTCAGGTTGAGATTTCCCTATTTCAGCACTTAAGGTATATATCCTCAAATTGACCCCCTTCTGGTATAGTTATTTCTACAGGGTCACTGATCTCATTGGTTAAGATGGAAAAGAACCACAGAAAGACAGTGGTAATAATAGGATGTTTTCTGACCTATTTCTCCTTGGATGCTTTCCCCAGAGATAAAGCTAAGATAAAGAGGAAGTTGGTTATCTGGGTGGTGTTTGGTGTTTAAATACCTTGCTTCTGGTGAATGTGAGGGCCTTAGCCTCCCACTGGTTATTTGTAAGTGTTGTTAACATCTAGCCCTTAGAAATCTAGTCTTTGGCAAAGTACCCACTCTTTGCAAAATACTTGTGCAAATTTGAGCTGGAGCTCCCTAATGACACAGAGCAGGAAGGCACTTTCTAAATTTAAAGTCTCCTCATGTTTAGGCACTGGTCAGTCATGCTTTTACAAAATCACATGGACACATTTTTCTTTTTTTGTATTTTAATCACTCAAGGTAATAGGTCATTTCGTGACTCTGAATCTCTCTTTTTTTTTTTTTTTTTTTTTGGTGGAGTCTCGCACTGTCACTCAGGCTGGAGTGCAGTGGTGTGATCTCAGCTCACTGCAACCTCCACCTACTGGGCTCAAGCAGTCCTCCCACCTCAGCCTCCTGAGTAGCTGGAATTACAGGCAAGCATCACCATGCCTGGCTAATTCTTGTATTTTTTTTTTTGAGATTTCGTACTTTGTTTTTTAATACATTATAATCTAGCTTATTTGACTAACAGTTTCTCCATCTCTTTATCAAGAGCATGAATAGTCTTCCTCCAGAGTCTTTTCCAGCTGCATAAATTCAACTTATTCTAAGGAGACTCTCCTCCAGTCAGCTGGCTCCTTCCTGGTGCTTTGCTCAGGCTTCTTGGGATCTGTCCTGCCTATGTTCTTCCTCTCAAGGATAGTTCTGTATCTTACCTTGGAAAAGGTCACGACCCCAGAGACACTCAGAATTGGATAGGTTCTCAAAGCTCACTTAGTCTACCTTACTTTCTAGTGCCTGAGTCACCTCTATACCATCCCTGCCAAGTGGTGGTCCAGGGTCTAGTTGAAAACCTCCAGTACCATGAAACTCATTGCTTTGACCATAATTTTTGTATTTTTAGTATAGGTGGGAGTTTTGCCATGTTGGCCAGCCTGGTCTCGAACTCCTGACCTTAAGTGATCTGCCTGCCTCGGCCTCCCAAAGTACTGGGATTACGGGAGTGAGCCACCATGCCCGGCCCGACTCTGAATCTCCTTATATTTATGTGTCTTTTCTGGAATCAGTAATGCCTTCCAGAAAAAGCTACAAAAATGCTGTCTTTGCAAAGTAATCAGAGTGGGAGCAGTTAGTACATGGAAATATTTATTGTATGAGTAAGGGTTTAATGATATGTACAGATATTACTCAGTTTATCGACTGTGTACCTGAGAAAAAAAGTTGTAAAACAAATTTCAGTAACACGTTTGATGTACGACATTAGAAATCACTTCCTATGGAAAAAACAGTAACAATCCCACCCTGTACTTATATATTGGTTTATGCTTTTCGTGAAGTTTCTATGTGGGTAAGCCTTTGCAATAAACTGGAAGACTATTGTCATCTTTTTTTTTTTTTTTTTTAAGACAGAGTCTTGCTCTGTCACCCATGCTAGAGTGCGGTGGCATGATCTCTGCTCACCACAACCTCAGCCTCCTGAGTTCAAGAGATTCTCCTGCCTCAGCTTCCGGAGTAGCTGGGATTACAGGTGCACCACCATGCACAGCTAATTTTTTTTTATTTTTAGTAGAGACAGGGTTTCACCATGTTGGCCAGGCTGGTCTCGAACTCCTGACCTTGTAATCTGGCCGTCTTGGCCTCCCAAAGTGCTGGGATTACAGGCGTGAGCCACCACGCCCGGCTGTCATCCTCATTTTATAGTTGCCTGAAATAAAGGCAAAGGCTCATCTGGTAGCCCTGGGACTAGAACCTATAGTCTAGTTCCATACTCTTTTCTCTGCAAACTGTTTAGATTAAAAGTTTATATGTGTTGATAATAAGAGAAAATCAAAGCAATTTAGTGAGCTTTTAATCATGCTACTTATATTCAATTTAAAGAGATGCCTTTTATTCTGATCTTTCAATAAATTCTTACTAAGCACCAGCTCTGTGTCAGGTACTGTTCTAAGTACTGCTTATAGTGTTGAACAATGCAGACACAGAACTTATGTTCTAATGAGAGAAGAGAGACAGTAGGTAAGTAAATAAATAATAACATATCAGAAAGTGATTTCAAATAGTGAATGAGGGCTCTGAAGAATGTAAAATAGAGAAGGGTAGTAGTTTCGTTTGATTTCAGCTAGAAAGATCCGGGACAGCTTCTCTGAAGAGGTTTACATTTGAGCTAACATCTAAGTAAGAAGGAGGCAGGCATAAGCAGATCTGGGAGAAGTACATTATAAAGGGATTAATAAGGGCCAGGGTCTAGAGACAGGAGCAAACAAACCCGCATTCCTGAAGAACTAAAATAAGATCTGTGTGGTCTCGGCTTAGAGGTCAGCAGACAAAGGAAAGGACTGGTCATTAAGGCCATTGTAGACCAAGGTAAGGAATTTGCATGTTACTGTGATGGCTATTTGTCCTACAGTTTTCTTGTTAAAAATGTCCTTTATTTTATAAAATGAGGGTGACATTAGTTAGTAGATTGGTGTTTAAGTATGTTGCCTCTGCTGAGTGTGAGGGCCTTTCCTCTACTTATCTGTAAGTGCTCCCAATACTTAATGATTTTATAATCTTACTTGGCAAGACTAAAAGTTAGTATTAACTAACTAATTAGCCTTATGTCAGTCCCCAAACTTTAAAAAAAAAATTTTACCAGCCATGAAATCTGGTAGTTTGGAAACTATGGCAGTATACCACAGCAGCTTCCCAATAGGAAGGTTTGAAAATATTTGTCAGTAATGAGGTTAACATAGTATCTTGGACAGTGACATGCTGAAATGTTTTTCTTACAGGAGATGTTTAATTTAAATTATCTTGAATTTCAGATCTACCTCTCCTTTTGTTCACCCACTTTCTTTTCTCTTTCTGCTATCCGTAAGTTCATCACTAGGTCATTTAAATTTCTCTTGTACTTGGGAACAACCTTGTTACAAGCTTCCAGAACTTTGTGCCCAGTACTTAGAATAGTCACTACATTATCACAGTTCTTCGGGAGGTTGCTCTACATTTAACATACTCAAATCCAAATGCTCTTTCTCAAAGCTCCAAGTAAATTAGTACCCTGATTATTGTTAAAATGAAATCTAGAGGTGAATTTACATGAAATGAGGATATAGATACAGGCCAGAGACCAGGTTCAGTCTGGCCTGTGCCAGCCATATTTGATTGCATCATGTCTTTCCTTTGCTGGCTGTATCTAGGATTCCTATTTTCTTATGTGATTTGTTCATAAAAATGGGCATTTGGGTTTAGTGTATGCTTGTTTTAAAGGGAAATTTCTTCCCAGAGAGCCCAAGCACATAAAATACTTCTTCAATGAGGTATTTAAAAGATTCATGCATATTACTATGTTTTGTTCTTTTCTTCAAAACTGATCGCATAATCTTCTGGCTTAAGTCCAGAGAGTGTCTAGTTGTGGCAAAATATTTGCTGCTTTAGGAATCCCTAATGATTACCATGCCTTTTTAATGGTGTTGAAAATACAGGAGCTAAGTTTATTAGTGACTAGATGTGCCATTTTTACCATTTCCCACTCATCTTTATAAAATAATGAGGGCAAAATGTTGAACAGTGTCTTTTCAGTTTTTAAAAATTTGTTATTTTTATTCTCCTCTTCTCCCTACTATGATGGCTACTAAAGGATGTCCAAGAAATCACTAAGGCTTTGTGGAGCACGTGATGCAAACCGCAGTGAAAAATCTAAATTGTAAACCCATCCATAGAAAGATGGCTGTGCTGTTGAAACTGGCAGAGCCACAACACTAAAGCTTCAAAAATAGATGTATACATTTTAACCTAAAATTACACTTTCAGGTGGCATTTACTGTATAAATCAAGGAGACATTTAATTTATCAAGCTTTGATCATGACTGTTTTTTGAGAACACACTTTTTATATAATTTAGGAATGGTGGTGCTATGAGGGCTAAAATATTTTTTGTTTACTAATTTAAAAAGTAAATTTCAGCCTGGCATGGTGGCTCACACCTGTAATCCCAGGACTTTGGGAGGCTGAGGCGAGTGAATCACCTGAGGTCAGGAGTTTGGAGACCAGCCTGACCAACATGATGAAACTCCGTCTTTACTAAAAATACAAAAATTAGCCAGTGTGGTGGCAGGCGCCTATAATTCCAGCTACTCAGGAGGCTGAGGTAGGAGAATCGTCTGAACTTGGGAGGCAGAGGTTGCTGTGAGCCGAGATCAGCCCACTACATTCTAGCTTGGGCGACAAGAGCAAAACTTTGTCTCAAAAAAAAAGTAAATTTCATATTGACCGAGATTTCTTTTTTCATAAATTGTTTAATTATAAATAGTCATAATATGTTTATATATTATCGTAAAATAATTGACTTGCTAGTTTAAATTTGTTTGTTTTTGTCTTCTAGTTTGCCAGGGTTTGGATACCTGATCCAGAGGAAGTCTGGAAGTCAGCAGAGCTGCTCAAAGATTATAAGCCAGGAGATAAAGTCCTCCTGCTTCATCTCGAGGAAGGAAAGGTGAGGTCTCACATTCATTTGTTGTCATTGGCATAAAGTGAAGGGAGTTCAAAAGTGTAAGTTTACTGTGAAGTAAACTCCCAATGGAAGTTAAATTTTGAATTTATATAAAATTTTTGCTTACAAAATTGGTAAAAATGGTAAACTCAATTTTCTATCCTGATAGCATTTTTAATGGTATAGTGAAAATAGCAGATACTTGAAAAAGCTTTTATTTTGGCCTATGAATTTATTATGATTATCAGGTTTAGATTCACATCTATTCCTAAAACTCTTGCATTTAACTGGTGTGCTATGGGGAGTGTCTGTAGTGTTTTTAAAAAGAGGCTTGGTGCCAGGTTTTAGAGGAGACTCATTGGTGGCAGGATGGAGAGCAACACTGAGGGAAAGACACTAGTTGGGACAAAGGCAGGGAAGAATTAGGCCAATTAGGAGAGTTTTGAATACCAGACAAGGGATCAACTTATTCAACATTTACAGGTCATCTGCTCTGTGTTAGGTGAAATGTTCTGCACTTTGGACTGGATTTACTCATGTTAAATTTCACAGCAACCTATGGTTTGACAGTTGTCATAATCACTATTTTTCAAATAAAAAAGCCAAACCTCAGAGTCATTAAGTAGTTTTGCTTGAGGTCATACGGCCAGGAAATGACTTGTGGAATTTGAAGTGAGATTTGAACACAGATGACTCTAAGATGAGTGCTTATACTATTTGACTACATTGGATTTTTGCAGATTACTGGCCATGACAAGTTGCTTAAGGTGATGTTTACCATGTTATTCTCTGTAAAGTTACTGTTTTCCCTTTGTAATTAATGAATATCATTGTGTTAGGGCAGATACCTTGAGGCCACTCATATATCCTGTTTCTCCTTAAACATCGACTGCTAATTTTGTGAAATGTTCATTAGTATGTCTTGCCTGCAGCAAGTATCATTGTTGTGTTCTAGTGGTGATTCTCCATGTCTTTCCTTCCTTTTATATTTATTAACTAGAATTCTTCTATAGGGAAGGAAGTATTGTTTCTTCTCCCCCATTTATTTATTAATTTAATCATTTATTTGTTTATTATGGGCCCATGGGTATTTCTTTTATATTCTTCATTACTATCATTATTTATTTATTTTTTTTTTTTTTGGTTGTTGTTGTTTTTTTTTTTGAGATGGAGTTTCACTCTTGTTACCCAGGCTGGAGTGCAATGGCGCGATCTTGGCTCACCGCAGCCTCTGCCTCCTGGGTTCAGGCAATTCTCCTGCCTCAGCCTCCCGAGTAGCCGGGACTACAGGCACACGCCACCATGCCCAGCTAATTTTTTGTATTTTTAGTAGAGACGAGGTTTCACCATGTTGACCAGGATGGTCTCGATCTCTTGACCTCGTGATCCACCCGCCTCGGCCTCCCAAAGTGCTGAGATTACAGGCGTGAGCCACCGCACCCGGCCTACTATCATTATTTATTTTTTCAAACAAATTATTCTGGCTTTGATCATTAAGATTGCTCTTAGATTGAGTCCTTTGTTTTTTTGACAGGTCCCTA